GTCGGAGCCCCGTGGTGGTCTGAACTGAAAGCCTGATGACTAAGCTAAAGTACAAGGGGGGGGGAACTGAAAACACCTACAGGGCAAGAGGTCACACAGAAAAGCTCTCATTCCACCACCAGTTCCGCTGGGTGACTATGGATCTCGACTGATCGCCCCAGTGAGCCGGTGGCTGCTTGGATGACTCGCCGTGCTGCTTGCGGTGTGACTTATCACTCATCACCTGCCTGCCTTGCATGTGATTCCAGTCACAGGCCTTGTCCTTGTTCCTCTTCTGCTAAATGTGTGAAATCGGGTCGTACTGAGAAAGGATCACACTGCACAAAAACAATTTCTCTGAACCTCGCTGAGGGAATCCGTCTGTGTCTCCCGGCGGTGTTTTGTGTGCGGCTAAAGTGCCCTCGAGCAAGACACCGATGCCTTATCTCTGGAACCTGGAATAATACATTGCCTGCAGTTGACCAAAACCACAATGCAGCTTTAGTAGTCCAAGCTGACTAATATAGAGTCATGGGTTTGTGAGGATGTCCCCCCCCCCCCCCACCTTGGCGGTAAACAGGAACCTTGAGAGGCGAGTGAGTTGAAGCGGGCAGAACCAAAGCGCTGCAGTCACAAGGGGCGGCCCGCAGGCCTCACACCCGGGCAACTTAACGGTTTCTGACCGGCTGGAAATTGCTCCTGCGGCTCATTACCACCTCGGCGCTTTACACTATCACAACTCTTGAGTGTGTGTTAGTTTTGCACAGCATCCTCAATTTTCGTTAATCTGCGTTTACAGTTCATGTGTTTACAAAACCAGTGGCCTTCTTTTGTAATGTCGTTATGACACTGAAGACACTGCAGAAACTTTCTCACCATCTAATCAGATTTTTTTTAATCATCGCGTTCAATGCAGTTCACTTTTGTGCACAGCACATGAAAGGTTCCTCTATTGAAGGTTCCAAGAGACATTTTTTGTTTCCAGTCATTACAGTGATTACAAAGCGATTTGCACACAACCCGGGAGGGGACACAAATCTCACAATATCTGTCATGTTTTTTTTGTTTTTTTCCCCTCCTGTGTCCTCCACAGATGACCGAACAGAGGAAAAATAAGCAGAGGCTTGGACTCCTGGGTCCCCCTCAGGCCAACCATCTCACCCACTGAGCGGCTCCGCCCTCAAACGCGACGGCAACTTGACTGCAGACCCGCAGTAAAGACGATGCAGAAACACAGAAAACTACGACCATAAAAACAATACATGGGTTCACTTTCGATTACTGGTGTCCGAATGCAAGAGGTGACAACGGTTTTCTTTCTTTTTTATTTTGTCACGGGATTCAAACTGTGCCTATTTTTTATGTCGCCTCACGGAGCAGCCTTCACCCGCTGCCTGCACGAAGGCGCTGCGCTTGGTGAATGATTGGCCAGGCGCGCAGCACACACCTGCCAGTGTTATCGTGCGCCAGGCCGGGCGGCGGACGTCATGTCTCGCTCCTCGAGCGTCCTCGGTGCTGACACATTGGCAAGCGGACGCGCGGCTCGGGGGTTGGCAGTGTGTTTGAAACGTTGGGGGCTTTTGTCCTCCACGGGGAGGTGGGAGGTCCTCCCTTTTTTACCTTTTTAAAAAAAAAAAATTCTAATTTATGACAAAATGTGCGGTCTATAGGAGATGTCATGCTGCCTTACACATTCACTTTTCTAAACCGTGCACTGCAACTGCTGAAAGTGCACTTTTTTTTTTTTTTTTTTTTTATAGGTGCAAAAATGTAGCCCTGTAACTGGAAACATTAGTGAGTTGGGGTATTTGCATTTGTAAAATACATTTGTTGCACCATTTCAGTTTTTGTTAAATACATTTATACAGAATATATAAATAACGAATGTGATTTTATAACAATTACCTGAGCAGAACTTACTTGAAATTTTATTTTAAGTCGACATCATATATTGGTACACAATATTAGACCGAAGATGTTTGGATTACATTTTTGTTACAATGTGAACATCATGTCTATAGAGATGCCTATACTGTAATTAACTATCAACGTGTGTCATCTTCATCTTCCACTATTTCTTGATTTACATTTATAAAATAAAACTAATGTCTCTTGGATTGCAATCGATTGTGAAGTCTGACCTTGTGTTTTAAACTCGGCAGATTCTATGCGCTCAATATTAACTGTCCTGGGACACTTTCTGTTTAAACAAAGTGTCGAGAGAATTCTGTTTTATGGGGTAATACGTTGTAATAAATTTGTAACAAGACTAATCTTTGTCCTTTGAGTCAGCAGCTTTTTTAACAGCAGAGTCAGTTTTTTTGGGATGCACCTGACCGCCTCTGCGCGCACACACACACACACACACACACACACACACACACACACACACAACCTACTATTATATTTTGATCTTACATCGGCGTATCTGTGACAGGACAATAATTTATTATTCAAATTATTCAAAAATACAAAATTTAAAGGATTGAGCTTGATTTATGGAACAGTCTTTCACCCACTAGGTTATTTGTACCATAACTGAAGGTAAAGGAATAAATGGCGTGAATAGCTTGTATAGTAGATTACTATTGGTAGTTGTAAATGAAACATCCAACTTCTGCCCTGCAGGTGGTGGTTTTGCTGATGCAAATTCCAATTAACTGACTTTTCAGTTGTTTGACCAATTGCTGTGACTTTTTATATAATGAATCCTTTTGGATAACATCCCGTTTCAAAACATTTAATGTTGTAAATGAAGGCGTATCTTCGTTGATCTGACGAGAGCTGCGGGTTTAAATGAGACCGGTCGGGAATCACTGTCCTAGAAAAAGAAATCCAGAAAAACGTTGAGGCCTGTGTTTTTCCTTTTTCATGGAATTCCCTCTTTAGTTGTCAAGCACTGTTTTAATTTGGGTCTGTGCGCATATCCGTACACAGTGCAGGTCATTTAGCATTCAGTGCTTCATTTTGTTGATAAAGAATCTGTTCTTTTATCCCGTCCAGTCATTTACCCTCTACAGAGAAGCCTTGTTATTTGTCTCGTTGTCTCACTGTCCAATGTTACGCACCAACCAGCGTGTCCAATCTCCTGCATGTCTAACATACGTTGGCTATAAATGTTCCTGACTCAGTGGGCCGTTTACGCTGGCAGGCCTGCATTTTGTCCTGCTGCCTGTGACGGCCATTAAAAGGAGCTCACGCAGGTCCATGATGGTGAGCAGCTGTCCCTGCGTAGACAACGAAGGGGTAAAGGGCGGCACTACCGGAATGTATTGGAGTCGGAGAGGGTAACGCTGGGACCATCATTAGCGTCTGGCTGAAGGTATCTTGCCACGGCGTGATGCTAAACAAACCTGCACTGCTTCAGGCATCCATCGCTTCCTTAAAAGAATATTTGCTCCGATATATGATATATATTTTATAAACTTTACTCTGGCAGGCAAAACTTTTTTTTTTTTTTTTATCTGGTTGCAAAGCACAGTCAAAAGTCATGTGCGTCACTGTGTGTTTTTTAAGTGAGAGTGCGAAAACACCCGGAGAAGGTCAATAAATACAAGGCAATGTCCTAAACACCTCTGTGGCTAAAGACGGTGCTTTTCCCTGAGTGAGTCAGGCGATCAGACTGATGCAGTGAGAGGACCGAAAGGACGGCAAGCATGAAGATTCCTGCACTTTGAATCCAGTTCGATATGTGCTTCAGTTTAAATTCAAACTAAATGTATACCATGAAAGTTGTTAGCTGAATCGTTTAAATGCAGTATCTTCTATAAGGGTTTTTTTCTTTAATTTGTTGTTCCAAGTTGCTCTCAAACTTGGTGTAAGTGGTCGCAGTGGGATCCAGAATCCGAAATCGACCTGTTTTTTTTTTTTTGTTGTTTTTTTTAAAGATCCGTTGCCCACAGACAGTAGTTACTCGGGAGCAGGGTGGAAGGTCCCTTCTCGCTCATTTTTTATAAATAAACACGGCACCATGGTGACTGACATGTGACTTCCTGTGTCTGGCAGCGCGATTAAGCCTTTTCTAGTCACATGTCACATGCACATCAAAACACAAAGGAAAAAGCGTGTGCGGCGTCACGTGTAGATGCAGTTTACGGACCCAGTGTCCACGCTGCAGAAGCTCCACGCTACGTGTACAGTGTGAGCTTCTGCAGTTCAATCAATGCATCATTAAACAGAATTCATAATGCATTCACAAAAAACATGCACATCCTCGTCACTGGAATCAGAAATAAAGGCTTGTAATGAGGGAGCGACTCTTGAGGATAGCAGTCAGTTAACTGGTGTGATCATTATTTTGTCAATTTATTTGAATTTCAAACCAAAAACAGTACTGGACTGAATCTTTTAGTCATTCACATTCTGCAAAAATAAACTGTTTACATCATCACCGGTCAATCAACCACTTTCCATTCATTCCACAAAATTGATTGCACACTAATATAAGTTTCTGGGAATCGGGTTCATCTATTAAAGGAACTGCCTCGCGTTTTACCTGTCGGCTGCTCAGCGTGCAGCCACCCGAGACGCCCGTCAGCACCTGAGACGCAGGTAACTCACGTACGTGTCTACGCAGCGTTTTGAAAATACGAACATCCCCTATTTAGCTCTTTCCTAACTGCATGCCAACAACAGAAACGTAAACACGGTGAGGTGGTTCAGTTACCTCCATCCAGCTGCCTGTCTGAGTGACCCCCCCCCCCCCCTAAACACCGCCCCCCCCCCCCTCTCACTTTGTGACTGCCAATAGGCTGCTTGAGTCACGCTGGCTGCTCTCCTGGCTTCCACCTTCACGCCAGAGACCCTTTCAGTGTGGAGCCAGTCTCATGACGAGGACCCTGCAGCTTGTGCTGCTGTATTATTATTATTACATGTTTTATTATTATTGTTTGGATTATTACAGGGGTTAGTTTTATCACCTGAAAAAACACCTGTTTTTCATTAAGGATTTTATGCAATATTCACAGAATAGCTCCGTGTTCTAGCAAGAGAAACCAAACCCGTGGAGTCAATCAGCCTGGTGACTTTTAGAAGTACGTATTTTTACTCGGTCAAAAGTATATTTACTGTTTCCTTGAGACATTTTATTTAAGTGTGTATTGTGGGAAAAAAAATAAACAAAAACTAGATGCACTGTAATATCTCTTTTTCAAACCAAATGAACAACACAGTGATATAGTGAGCTAGAATGACACGCGAAGAAACACTGGACGAACTAATCACGATCCTTACATCTGAAACTGTTTAACTTCCTTTTTGGTAGTTAAGTGCATAACCACTCCGCTGCTTTGGTTTCAGTGTTGTGTTCATGGTTGTAAATGAGCTGTATGTCTGCACAGTAAATAACTAGAGCAGACAACAAACATCATTGTGGAAAAATCCTATTGCTGCAGATATTATCCCGAAAAACCAGCTGTTTTGCTGCTGTTAATCTTCTTTTATAACAACTGAGAATGGAAGTATACATAAACATGGCATAAAAAACGTGTGCAAAAAGCCACTTTATAACAACTATCACAAAAGAAACGTTTGGCAAAAACCACGAAGGCAACTCGTCGATCGGTGTACTCTCACTGCTGCCTGCGCCCTCTGACCCTCTGATCCTCTGCATCCCATCCACGCTTGTTAAACCTTCTGCCACTGCCGGGAAGCGTGAGAGCCAATCTGAAGGCCGGCGAAAAAGACCTGGTAACGGTGCTTCCACATGACGAAGGCCCCCAGCGCGCACACCAGCGCCTGGGCCAGGTTCAGCACGATCTGGAGCAGGAAGTAGAGCGCCAGCGTCCCGGTGACTCCCTCGCAGTCGCTGACGTCCTGGTAGGTGAAGGTGCGGGCTATTGGGTCCATTTGATCCAGTTTGCACACACAGTCCATCCTGACCCGCTGGCAGGTGAAGCCACTGGTCTGTGAGTGGTGGTGTCCGGCAAACGACATGGCCACAACTGACGTGACCAGCCCGATTGCGCACAGGGCGAAGTACAGGATCTGCGGAGGTCGGGAGACAAGCAAGTCAGAGGTCGAGCGATTTAACCCCGGAAGCTTCGATCGGAAAACCCCTTTTCCCGGTCTCAACTTTTGGTTTTGTGCACTTCAAGTTCTGCGGTTGTCTCGTGATTGACCCGGCAGCCAAACTGTAGCTGAGAGGCAGTTGAATTTAAAGATATCACGATCAACGCTCCGAGGCAGGGCCTGACCCTTAGCCCCCCCCACCTCCAGCGCTCAGCACCCAGGAGAAAAAAGGCACATGCACGACTGCCCTACAGCTGGAGCTGCTTCCCGCCTTCAGTGCACGACCTGTGAGTATGCCCAACGACAGAGAACGTCCAAAAATACACTTGCAAAATGTGACAAGGAGCTTCATGTTGTTTATGCAATTGCACAATCTCAATAACACTAAACCTTTATCTTAATCCTTGGCTTATATAACAGCAGCTCTCATTCGCGGGTGTATTTATGCTCTTAGTGACATGCTGCTTACGGCATTATGCAAGTGATGAGTGGTGTATGATTTGAAATGGTATTTATGTTCATTTTAAAACTGCTGTGAAAGCTGGAGTATGTCTGCTTGCAGGGAAATGTATGCACAGTCTCCAGTTGCATTGCATAGTTTTGAAAATGATGTACTTCACTAAATGGAGATAATCTGAAACCCCATTTATAGTTCACACGGTGTCCTGGAATATCTTTCTATGGATATTTTATAAATTCAACAGAGCATCTTATATAATGATGAATCATTTAAATCGTTGTCAGAGAATAAAGAAGTATTTTATTTTGATTTTTTATACCTATTTACTGATGAGAAAGAATGAAAAGTGCAGATTTACTGTAATATTTCAACAATAAGGAAATATGCACTATTTCAAAAAGTCTAGTTTACATATTTCAACATAAATTACAAAAATCTGTGTTATATTGGAGCCAGTGCAGTTACTCCGAACCGCCATCTACAATAAAGTATTTTCGTGAGTAAAACCTCTAAAAAGGTATTTTGAAAAAAGAAAAAACCCTTTTCAAAATCTCACCATATCTTGACCGCCACAAAGATATAATGTGCCTGTTTTACAATTCAAAGCGACACATTTGACACTAATATGGGGACCTGATTTGACTCCAGAACAGGACACGATTGTCATTCACAAACTGATTTGTTTGCTTTCACTTCAGCAAACAGTGTGTTGAAATAGGGTGCGCGGACCGACCTTGACAATGAATTGAATAGATGTCCTCTCGTCGGGGAGGTAGGTGACACAGTACAGGATAAAGCCCGGGATGGAAACTAAACACAGCTGCAACAACACACCAGAAAACAGTCGGATTAGATTCACTCACTCTCATCAGGACAACTATCAACATAATACTTATTTTGTGGCCTTCAACCACAACAAGATGCAATTACAAAATGCACTTGTATTTGTCACTTGTTGCTATATACTTCCTGTGTGTTGCACAGTATACACCGCATAGAAACAAGAATGTTGTTCTAGTAGATATTTTGTGGCCAGGTTTTTAGGGGTGTCTCTTAATATTGCATGATTCACCACTAGGCAGTCATCTGATTACATTACTATCTCTCTCTCTCTCTCTGCCTCTCTCTCTCTCACACGGACACACTCACACTCTCTCTCTTCAGCCCAAATGGAGTCTTGTGACTGGCGTGCAGCATCTAATTTAAATGTTTTCCTCAGGTTTTTAAGCACTCAGGATTTTCTGGAAAGTTCTTGATGACCTCAGTGTTTTCCCCTGGGATGAATCTCGTGAGGGTGTAACTCGGGATGCTGGTATCCAGGGATGTTTTTGAGGGTGATAGGAGGATAGGATCCAAACAGGAGCAACATGTCGTAGGTTAACAGCATTCAGACAGACAACTTTTATTCCTCAAATGAAGCCGGTTCAGTGCCAAAATGTCCACTGACAATTCAGTGTACTTCTTCTTTACTCTTGAGCTGCGAGTTCATCGGATTTCATTCAATCTCCTAAATAATTATTTTAAAAGGACTTCACCCACAAATATTCTAACAACATCGAACGAACAGCTATTTTAACCTCTTATGTCCGAATCCCCATGAAAATGAATACAAATACCAGGTAATAAGTATATACATTTGAGTAGATTATTTATGGTTGATGTAGAATGGTTTCTCCTTGTTTGAACTGCCGCTGTGACTGTAAATGGCCACGTTTACTGGTTACGGGTAACAAAAACATACCTATTTACGGTGCATGTCAGTCAAACGTGAATAACATCGCTGAATTCTAAGTAACTGACATCTGCTGTATGTGAGTGTGACTGTAAAATGTAAAGTTTATCATTCCTTACGGGGCCAAACTCTACACACAACCAAGCTGCTAGGATTATTGCTCCATGCAGACCCAACCTCAAAGGGATAAACGCTACGGCATTTGCATGACTTGCACAACAAAGTCCAAAGACTTTGCCCTCGTTAATACCGGCAAAGCAATTTAAAGAACTTGGAATCTCTCATTTCAAGCGACATCGGACCCTTTACTGTAAACTACACATGTTTGTTGATTGTTCTCTCTGGACTTAAGATTTGAATCTTAGAAATGATAACTTTGAATGTGTCAACTTAAACTCGCAATCTCGCAAACAATATTTCACGTGCAATGGGTTTCCATCTTGAGGTGATAAGTGTAAGAAATTACAGAACAAACAATCCATTTCACGGTGTGATTCGCTGGGACGTCTCACCTGTGCCAGATGTGCAGCATTTGTTGGGAATTAGAAGAAAAACAACAGAAGGCCCAAGCAGGCTATTGTGACTGAGACGGATTGTAGAGTGAAGCGCATCCATCCGGGTGAAAATGACAGATGGAACCTTGTTTGAACATGACGCTACCAGTGATTTCCCAATGCCCCCCCATGACTGTTGCAGGCGGTAAGGGCCAGTGTTGACATGCAGTGTGATGAAGATTGGGCAACACGTGCAGCGACATGGACGGCCATGCGGAAGTATCAGGCTCCATGCAAGCGTGTGAATGCAGTTGCTGATGTACGAGGTGAGGGTGAAGCTTACAATGATTCCAGCCCAGTACGGCGTCTCTCTTGTCAGCAGTGAGGGGCTGACGGCCAACATGAAGAAGGCCACCGCCGTGACGGCCGCCCCCAACAGCAGCTGGAGCAGGGCGATGAGCAGAGGGAAGCGACAGACTCTGCATTTGTGTCCGTCCTCCGGCGCTGGGCTTTCATCCCACTTCTTCTTGCCCTCTTTCTGGTCTGAGGAACCTTTCTGCCCCTGCCCCATGTCTCCACTTTTCTTTGAACTCTTTTGCCTTAACTCTCGACTACTACCGTTGGCGTTTTTGGGGTGGATGAGCCTGCCTGCCGTCTCTCTCTTTCTCTGTCTCTCTCTGCCTCCCTTCCCCTCCCTTCCCAGGCATCTATGCCTCTCACCGCAGCCCGGCATAGATGCTATTTGGAAACAGAGAAGGCTCTGAACTAATATGGAAAACATTTGGACTGGATTCCAGTGCCACATATAGAGCAGGCAGCATACTGTGGAGGAAAGGAAGAGGAGGGAATGGGGCGAGGGGGGGGGGGGGGGGCAGGAAGTCAAAAAGGGGGACTCCAACATACGACTGTAGGGCGGTTTCTCTTGTACTTGCATTAAAGGCGAGAAATGGAAAATACAGAGGCAAATCCGCAGGTGTGAGTTAATGAAAAGCCAGCTCACAGGACGTCACACTTCATTTAAAAGGCGAAGTGATGGGGTCATTCATTGTCAGCGGTGTTGCACAAGAGAGCCCTGTGCTGCCAGCCAGAGTCACCTGACTAACTGGAAGAAGTAATGTAATCATGAGGCATGTGGGGGCGTTACGAGGGCTCAGATGTTGGTGTTTTTGAGCACTTAAACGTCCTCAATAGAGGAACAGGTGCCCCTGTCAATCAGTCAGTGTTAAACATTTATAATTAGTAAAAAATATTTTTTTGGGAAGGTACGAAACTTGAACAGACAAATAAATTATTTTTTTTTAAAAGTAAAAAAAAACTCATTTACTATTTTCTTCAAATGTTATAATACTTTAGCATTGAAAGACACCGTGGTGAAGGAGGGAGAGCAGCAACCAGGCTGCTGCGAGTGACAAAGGAGCTCTGCGCACGTGTCTGAGCACACAGTTGGGTCGGTGCCATGGTTACTGACAACGCAGCTTTGAGACGTATGAATAGGTTACCCTGCCCCGATCCGGGCAACAACATCCTGGGACACGCGCGTGCCGCGTGCACACGCACCCGTTTAGACCATGTCGCGCTCTGAACTGCATTCAATTCACATTAAACTCTGTTTTCAGTGTCTATAGCATGCATTATAGTCTTTGGGGTGAGATCAATAATGTAATCGGTGTGTGTGTGTGTGTGTGTGTGTGTGTGTGTGTGTGTGTGTGTGTGTGTGCGTGTGTGTGCGTGTGTGTGTGTGTGTGTGTGTGTGTGTGTGTGTGTGTGTGTGCGTGTGTGTGCGTGTGTTTAACTGACAGAGACGCATTTGTAAGATATGTGAGATTCCTGTCCCATAGTCGATCCCATTACTTACACGTATTTATTTAAGAACCGTCTCGCGTTGCCCAAATGACATCCTATGCATCGACACTACACCGTTATCCAACGCGCACGATTACGTGGGGTCGTTCGTCTCCGATCGCGCCTGTGCGCCATTCACCCATCCCCGCGCGTTGCACACCAATCACGTTTTCAGCACGCGTATGAGACTTCATCGCCCCACGAGTGGCGGCTATATCTGCTATGACGCCGAGGAGGTCTAATTACCAGACTTTCGTGCTTGTGCAGGCTGCACGTGAGTCGGAAGCTGTTTTCCCCCCAACCGGAGGCGCGCCTGCGCTCTGACCGCAAGAACCGACGGCTTTGCAAAGTGCCAGCTCGGGGAACCAGAGACGCCGAGGGAACTACCGACATCAGTCTAAACGCGCAGCTGCACCGGAGGACACGCACTGTGCATCGTCTCCCCGCTCAGCCGTCCGTGTGTGTGTGTGTGTGTGTGAACAACAACAACAACAACAACAACAACAACCACCGTTCCCCGCAAAGAAGCTTGGCAAGCAGCAGAGACGCGATGGATGAAAGAATCGCGCATTTACAGGACAGACAGTTTATGGAGCACGCAGAATTCTTGGGGTGAGTGTCGCTTTTTTTTTTGTGGCAAACTCTGTGAAACTCGCTGTCCGATAAACGGCGATGAGAAGTCGGTGCATAACCGGACACTTTACGCTTCACTTTAGGGTGGATTACTCCTCTCTCTACATGTGCAAATCCAAACGAGGCATCAAGCGGGAGGATGGTGGGAAGGTATTTGTGGTTTATTAAGGCAATATCATTGTTTAGCTTTTTTTTTCCATTAACCGACCTTCGCGTCTGCATGAAAGTCATAACATGCAAATACTTTTTACACACATACACATATATATCTTTATTTTTGCTGGAAGCAGGACGCCTACAAGTTACCTCACCGGTTGATAGAGAAGAAGAGGAGAGACAGAATCAACGAATGTATCGGCCAGCTGAAGGATTTGTTACCGGAGCATCTGAAGCTGTCGGTTAGTTAACCGGCTCACCGGACCCGGGTGTTTTTGTTTTTATGTTTTTACGCGACGCGACGAGTCGTGAGTCCAACTGAACCAGCTTGTTTTTTCTGTCTCCTCCGCAGACGCTCGGGCATCTGGAGAAAGCGGTTGTCCTGGAGTTGACGTTGAAGCACTTGAACGCTCTGACGGCCGTCACCGAGCAGCAGCACCAGAAGATCGTTGCTTTGCAGAATGGTAAGATGAACAAGCCCCAAGTTGGGAAAACAACGTTTTGGGTGAAACTTTTTTTTTTTTTTTTTTTTGTAGAACAAAAGTCAGGTTTTCACAGCAGCAAAATGTAACGCGAATGGAAACAAGGCGCATCAACAGGATAATGCGCATTTTGAGAATACCACAATATTATGGATAAAAAACGCGCCATTGACGCGCGCCCACTTGATTAGCTCATTGGCTCGTGTTGTGCTACGATTTACAAAATAAAAAATGACCTTTTGAACTGCTTTTTTTTCGCAGGGGACCGGACAGCGAACTCGTCCATACACGCAGATCTGGACGCGTTCCACTCCGGCTTCCAGGCCTGTGCCAAAGAGGTCCTGCAGTATCTGGGTCAGTTTGAGAACTGGACGACGCGAGAGCAGCGGTGCGCGCAGCTCATCGGCCACCTTCACAAGGTGCTGGCGCAGTTCCAGGCCGGCGCGCCGCCGCTCCAGCACCAGCTACCCGCCGCCGGGGACGCACAGGATGGCCACAAAGCCGACAGCCAAGCTAATTAAAGGGCCGGTCATCCAGAGGACCCAAGGCGGGGAGCTCAACGAGAACGACACGGACACGGACAGCGGCTATGGTGGCGAAGCCGAAAGGGCGACGGCAAAGATAAAGAATGTGAGCGCAATAACGCGCAGGGAGCCAAGGTGGTGAAGATCAAACAAGAGTTTGGAGATGATCGCGTTGCCAAAAAACCAAAGATGAACTGGCCTGGGAACGGGTCAGGTGGCGCAGACCCCGCTAGGCCCGATCTGGCGTTTATGAACACTCTGGTGGGAATAAGCGGCGCGGGACAGCAAACACCTATTTGCATGCCTTTCTACTTCATCAACCCTTCGGCCGCGGCTTCTTATATGCCATTTTTCGACAAAAGCAACATTGAAAAGTACATGTACCCAGCGGCGGCCGCTCTGGCATCTCCTTTCCCCTGGCTGTACCCCGCGCACGCGGCGGCCGCGGCGGCGGCGGCGGCGGCAGCGGCTTTCCCCGGCTTGTCCGTGCATGTTGGAGCCTCTCCTGGGTCCAAGGACCTCCACGGTGCAGAGAGCGACGAGTCACGCGATGCTGAGTTCGGGTCACCAGGGGAGCGCGAGGATAGTCCCGGGATCGACTACGGGGAGGATGACGTAGCAGACGCGTCCCAAGAGAGCGAGGACAGTCCTCGCGCTCAGCTTCCTGCGTGTCAAACGAGCTAATTGCGTGGTCCTTTGTTACAGCTCAGTGCAGTGCTCTGCCGAAGAGCGTGAATTTCCTTTTGTTTTCTTCTTCTTTTCTAAAGTTAGACTAGTGATAAAGCGAGGTTTTCACAGAGGTTTCTCATGTACAAAAATATCGGTGGAAACAGTTGTGACTGAGTGTGCCTTTTGCACTTCTGCTAGATTAGTCAAACTCAATGATTATCGACAATGATTGAAATGAATACACAGCTGTGTTGTGCTGGAGTAAGTTTTTTTTATCCTCTTTGATAATATATTTTGAAGTGGCAGCATTGGTGCCCAAACTTTGAGTATACGACACCAGGGCGCAACACCCCACTCAGCGTGTCTCTTTGGATGTATGAAGTTGCAACTGACCTCTGCCAAGGTTATCGAGTGCTTGGCTGACTCTGACTGTAAATAGTGTCACCTGAAAGAAAGGCGGAATCACTAACGCGTTTTAATGGAGCAGGTAGAGTGTGGGAGAGAAATAACTGGTATGCCCGATCATTTACAACACAAACAAATAACTACTTCACACATAATAAAGGTGATGAATGGGGACGTTGTGTTACAGGTGTAATGCCTGGTTTCCTTCATTTTTACACACTTACAGAGTCAACTCTGGTTTCATTTACTTGTTCTTGTGAGGAAAGAAAAAAAAATGCTGATCGCTGGAATCATTCAGGGTAATTGAAAGAAGAAACCCTTCGTTTACAAAGGGGCTGCTTGACCTGATATTGTACATCTCCTGAATGAGGCATTTCAACACGGTGACCTCCTGCACCTCCAAGAAACGTCGTAGGATAGCACCTTATTGATCTTTGATATTGAATGTACCTGTATTTTCCCAGCTGTTAAAGTTTGTAGGATGATCTTTACTCTTTGAGATGTAAAGTGCACTTTTTCTGCTCTTGCTCTCCCAAAAAGTCCCCTCACACGAGTCAATAGCAGTAGTTCTCTCAGAACATTTTTATTGTGTTGAGTTGTCTTGAAATAGTAATACACAAATATTTCATTTAAAAAAAAAGAGATGTGTGGCCATTAAGTCATGTGAATTTGACAAAATACAGTTTATTTCTGGCTCTTTCGAAGCAAAAACCGTTCAGATCATAATCAGATTTGAAAACCTCTTGACAAACCGAACTATCCTCGATTTTGTGTTTTATGCTATTATTACGTTAAACCTTGCTAATCAAATATTTTACAAAGGTGGGATAGAAGCTGTAGTCATGTGACCATCACATATTTTAAGAACCGTTGACTCTATCTTGACCTGTTTTCTATGAGATTCATTCCTGGAAGTATAGTGATATTCAGCTTTAAGTTTCACATGTGACCGAATTAACATAATTTCCATTGCGTTTTGCAAACATTGGCTTTTGTAGTTTACTTCGGCCGGTTTGGCCTCCACTCTGTTATCAACTGTTATATAACGTGGCATGTGTGTCTGTAAATATCTTTTGTGAATATACCATAAAATATACGTCTGTCAATGTTGTAGAAGTCTATGGACTTTTTTTAAAACATTTAATTGAGCAACTGTTGCACATTTCGTTAATGCTTTACACATATGCTGTTATAAATTATTGCTGATGAGTTGTAAAATAAATATCGAAACTAAACTCTGCAGGCTTCCTCTTGTTTTCCACCAGTTGGTTTCGTGCGCAAATCCCCAAAAAACTGCAGGAGAGGTTCATGAGGTGGTTCGACATTGTTCCAATCATTGGCAACATGTGATATTTGGGTCGTGGGTAACAACACACACTGTGTAAGACACCACGTAATGTATCCACAGGACAATATTTCACAGTTTGGTGAATAAAGGATACCAAAAGTTCAACAGATGAAATGTACCGTTGCTAAGCCTCTAATCAGCTGACAGGTCACCGCGGCGGAATGTAGTGTACAGTAAGCCACGGCTTTGAACACATGTGATGTGATGATGAAGTGAGATTACACTCAGTCTAAAGCCTGATGAAAAACAAGGGGCCTCCTCCCAACTTGTCAGATGCCTTCAGCGGGATCAGATCCACTCTTTTTCGTTCCCATAAACCAACTCACAGCAACTTTATAGACATCTTTATGCATGATTTGAAGAGATTTAAAACTTGAGTTTCTGACTTAATTCAGATGCATTTAAAGTGTTATAAAGAGCCTGCACATCACCTTAAGCTGCTGCTCCTGGTTCAATAAGTCCACCCATTGACCTTTAAGGGTTACTTTTCCTTGGTTTACACTTTAAATGATGGTTCTTCACAAACCAGTTAGCATAACTTTGACATTTTAGGAGAAGGCGTCGATGGCTTTTTTTTTCTTCAACCAGACACCCCCCCACGCACACACACACACACACACACACTTCCTCTGCTCCTCTAATACACCATATATGAAGCTTTGTTTAATTAGATTAATATATATTTCATACGAAGACATGTGCTCTCACTTATTTCTGGGCCATGATGAGCCCACGTCTCTAACACTGGGAGAATGTCTCCATCTACTGGCCAAACAGCCTGCAACCATGAAGAGCGCTGAACCACACAGTGCACGTTCTTCCTCATTTGGATGCACTGGCAAACAGTCACTGGGACACATTTCATTTGGTCAGATGGTTTATTGAATCATGCAATTAATATCATTCACATCGGCAGCCAGTTACAGCCACACACACACACCTGTCAACACATTGCAGTATATTAAGGCATGGACAAATAAAAACAGGTTATGTACAATCGACATCTTAGAACATACACGGTTGTAAACAGTGACCACAGCTACGCATCATCCCCAGGTGGAAAAAGCACACAAGTGGTTTCTTAAAGGGAAAAATCTGCTCACTTATATAGATGGATTAGATTTGACCTAATTTAACCGAAAAGCAACAGTACAAACTGCAGAGGAAATGCATTTTATTTTAGTGTAGATACTGAATGTTGCAGTGTGGACTCCTCTTCTGTATCACATGAAAAATGTTATTCCGGTGTGAAGCTGCTGAATAAAGCACACAACATGTGTTGTAGATGAAATAAATCAGATCAAATGTGAATAGATTTTACAGCATATAGTATTATGGTGAGAATCGCACAGTGGAAAGAACTTTCAATATTGTTGGTTACATTCATATTTCTACAAAATACAGACAGATGAAACCGAAGATACTTTCCTCTCTGATGCTGTGCCGTATCTCTGTGGGCTTCAATGTGGCACTAATACATCGAGCAGCTGCTCCAAACTGACTACGATCATTGCTTCCATGTGTCTACTAAAGCTTCGCTGCACATTATTCACATTCACCAACTCTGAAAGGAATACAAGGCACTTTGAAGTGATTAGCAGCTGAACTAAGACCTAAGAGGGAATTAATTCTGCGTCTATTCAGACGTTGCATACACACACACACACCTATTTAAATCACACACACCGTAGCTATCTGTTTTATTACATGCCACCAGATCCCCCCATATGATTTACTGTAGTGTGGGTCTGCACTTCCAGATATGGCTCTATTAACAACACAGTCATGCAACAAGACCTGCTAACCTTTGGCCATCCAGCCTTACAGAAAAAAACAAGCTTAACACGTTTGGCAAAAATATACTGTTTAGCAATCTGAACAACAAAAATCCGCTTAAGAGGGTAATTTACACGGTTTCATTACGAAGGTATATTAGCAAGAATCAGGCCACTGCATTTTTGTAACTGTAAATGCACAGCTTTGTAATAAAATAGAATAATTCACCAAAAAAAAAAAAAAAAAAAAAGCTCAAAACTAAGAAAACATATACAGTCAGCAATCATTTTGGTGCACACACACACACACACACTTAGTAACAAAACGATTGACCTTTTGTGCATAGTTGTAACGTGAACTGAGAGCAACCGCATCAAAGTCTGATGTGCAAAACAATACATTCTAGACACGTTTACTATAGTAGACACACGTGGATCCTTCATTGCTTTTATAAGAACAAGATGTTATGCTGGGTAAAACATGTTCACTATAGAAATAACGTACGAGATATATTTAATAAATTCACATACAAAGATTCTCAAGAATACTATTCAAAAGGCGATAATTTTGAATCATAATGCTAGTGAGAAATCAATACAAATCATTCATCAGTTACTGAAGTAGATCACGTGGATTTGTTTATAAAGTCCACGGTGGCCTGATGTTTACAAAATCCTGATACGTCTCCGTTGCTCCTTCCTACCACTTTTGCATTCACACCAAGTGCTCCAGAAATTCAATTTTTCACGATCAACATTGTACCTTCGGTTCTTCAGTCGTCACGCTCAGGGTCGCCTTCAGGTAACTGAGACAGCAGCGCATAGTAGCGTGTCACCGAGGAACCCCGTACAGAGACATCCACTTGCAAGCGTGTTCCAAATGGCGGAAAGGAGACGCGACGCGTTGCCTCGTGGCAGAGACATCTCACACATAGATGCCCTCTGGATTCAGGCCGGAGGTGAGAGGGCTGTGGAGGATCCGGAGGTGACTGGACATGGCGTGCGACGACACCGGACGCTTCAGGGAGCCAGAGAGGGGAACTAAATCTGAGAAATATGCAATCATATGAAAAGGAAGAATATTAAAAGCGGTTATATCCAAAAGTGTATTTAAAAAAAAAAAGTTAAAAAAAAAAAGGTTTAGTCCTGGAAATATACAGCCAGAAAAACAAGAACCACGTAGTCCTGTGGATGCTGCATGACAGCTGTGCTGTGGTGCCACCAGGGGGCAGTACCGAGCTACGCAGGGAATCTGCAGATGCAGTGAGTTTTATGGCCTGGACCAAAAGCGCTGCCGGATTTTACACACGTGAATTGGAAGGTTACTGGAAGGACGTGATCACTCAATTCATTATGTCCCATAATTGAAAACAATCGCTGCAATAATGAGACTTGCCGCTCTCAACGATTCAATGATGATGTCTATGGCATGCAATCAGAAAAATAAATAACAGTTCCTTGGTGAGGTGACCGATTCACGTTAACTGAGCGACACATTTGAACCCAAATCGAATTGAAGTGGGTGTAAATTGTGAAGCTTCTCCAAGTTTCACACAACCATGCGTTTCATTTAGAAGCAGACTGGATAGAATTTGTATTATTTTCCCCCTAGCAGCATTAATACACCGAAAAATGTATTTCTTTCATTATCATGAGTTTAAGGTTTATTTTTTTATTTTTTAAAAGGATTCGTCGGTTTGTTCGGAGGTTTAACTTGACATTTATTTAAGTGAACATTTTTATTACAATCATTTCCGCGCTTGCAGGCTTATTTTTTTAACTTAACTTCTTCTTAACTACATTTCAGTGTCTATTGATAAACTTCCCTGCTACCAACACAGAATGCACGGCTCTAGCCGGACCTAAAACTCGCTCTAGTCAATGTCAAATCGTAGTCACGATTAATCCCCAATGAGATTATTGATGCAACATTAGTGGGAGGTTTTAAATAACCAGTTGGCTGACAGCTCGTCTTTATTTCATTGTGAAAGTTCTCCCATTATTTGCGTCTCTTTAGCGGTTTATGGATCTGCTCGTCTCCTGTAGGGTGGCAGCGCTTCGGTCCAAAAAATCCATCATCGAAACTGCTGAGCATGTGATCGAGTGACAGCGTGATAGAAGCATTGAGGTTAGACGGAGAAAGTAGGGGGAATGAATGACGCCGGGTCTGCCTGTATCCAGGCAGCTGTTGGCATGGAGACAGTAATTGCCGCTGGAGTGGGTAAAGACTAAAAGGATTCTTGCCGCTACCCCCTCCAGATTCAGCCATTCAGTCAATCTCAATCTTTCACACATTCACGTACTCACACTTGAACGCCAAGCTTAGTCATTTTCTCTCCGCACGCTGTGAAGACACAGGACGGAAAAATAAAATAAAAAAATAAGTGCACTCTCTTGGCACTCTTCACTTCATGTACTTAAAAATAAGTCATGTCTTGCCAATCTGAAAGGCGACCAAAAGGCGGCATTTATCTTCAGACAGCATGCACTTTGGCATTCACGTAGGTCGCCATGGGTTACTATTTCAGATCAGTTAAGCCTTGGTTCTGCACTTTAAAAAAAAAGACACAAAAACTACAGCAGGGTTGGCGCGCTCATGGCATATTACTAGTATCAGTACGTGACTGCTTATAATAAGGATGTCTTGCAGATGAATCTTGAACTCCGGTATTACTATTAAGTGAAAAATGATTCAATGTTCAAAAGAAAAAGGATAGGTACCTTTAACATGAGTGCTGTGAGTACTTTCATCCTCACTGGGTTCGGCCGGCAGCACTGTGACCTTGGTGCCGGTCTGCTTAATGAACTGCTGCAGGTTAACCTGCCTCAGCTCCTTGGTCAGCTGTTCAAGCTCGTGCTGCATATCCTGAAAAAGAAGAAAAAAAAACCTGCATGAGAAATGATACAAATTGCTTCAAACAGACATCTACACATGCAGATTATACATATAGAAGTATTAGAGTAATTTTATGTCCAGACACCAAACAAAATTACCTTCGCTATCTGGTGATAGGTACTAAGTACTTCATAATAATCATTAAAACTCTATTTAGCGCTTTTAAAAACAGAGCTTACAAATAGGCATATGAATGAGTGCGTACTCATTACCTGCAGATTCTTGGTGCTTTGTCCAAGCGAGCGATCAACCGCTCTGCAGCTACTCTCCAGCTGGACGGCCTGCCTCTCCTGGGCTTTCAGTTCCGTTTTGGCCCGGAGCACCTGAGACCGAGCCTCGGCCTCGCTCACCCACTGGGTCTCCTGCCGCTGCCTCTGCAGCCGCTCCTCTTCCAGGCCGGCCTCTACGCTCTGATAGGGCGGAGTTAAACACATTTGGGAACTAATATATCAACTTTCATTCTTTAACTCGTAGCTGGTCAATTTAGTTTTTCCACACGAGCTGCAACTAAATATCAGACCTTTAGTTCAACATCACCCACACATAGCACACCTGTACCATTGAAAGCTTTTCTTCAATCTCCACTTCACAGCCCTGCAGGCGTCCTACTAGCTCATGCAGTCGTTCCTCAAGCTGCCGCTCACTCTCCAGCTCTATCTGCAGCTCCGTGGAACCAAAACTCCTCTTCCTCCATCTCAACGTCGTCTTCCTCAGATGCTTTTCCAACCTCAGGATCTCCTCCATCAGCCCTCCTCCAGCCCGGTCGGCAATGCACCCTCTACCTCGCTCCTCTGTCCCGTCGGCCCAGGCCTGGAGCTCAGCCTCATAGGCCTCCAGCTTTTTCTGCAGCACATTGAGAGTCTCTCTTTGCAGACCGACCAGTCGGACCAGATCTTCCATGCGACATGTCCCGCGAGCCCATGCGGTGGAGTCCCGATCGGCGAGACGCCACGCTCCGCCACGGCCCCACCCCACTGGTGGCGCGTTGGTTTGGCGTAGTGCTGGTGGTGCTGCCCCACGAGTTCATATATACGGGAGCTCTCTGGGGGCACCCCTGGAAGAGCAGAGTCTTAGGTCCCGGTTCGCGGCGGCTCAAGTGGGAGCGATAAAAAGAGTGGTGAAGCTTCGCGAGGGGCAGTAAGCTCTGCCGGTTCGCGCTGCGTTCTGGCTCCCGGAGAGGCGGTTCTTCTGAGGAAGATCGTTCTGTCAAGGAGGGACTCGTTCTCCGCAGGATCAGCTGGACGTCCCCAGCATACTGGCCCCACGTGTTGAGGGAAGCCACAGGGCTCTCGTGAGGGGCTAGGTGACGCTCAGAGTCCCGCCATTTTTCCACCAGAGTGTACCGCCCAGTGCGACCTGTAAAAAGAAGGGTTGGCTTCAGAAAGAAAATAATGTTTTTACAAAACTCTACTGCAGTTTTATAGTTCTCCCAGAATGCAAGGATTAGGCCTTTTATCTAAAAGTTGCTTCAAGCTAATTTCCACTAAATTGGGTAAAGATTGCAAAACGAACTTACGGAAATGCAACAATGACTTACTGGCATCTTTCCGAACTGTTAAGATAGAAGAGCTTTATACATTGAAGAGACACGGAGGGACATTGTCATCCTGGTGTGGCCGTGTTTCTGGCAACCTAATAACAATATTCAAATTGGCCGAGTGTGTCTGACAGCTCGCAATGTCTTGTCTGGTGAACTGAACCAGCTTGCATTTTTCGCCTGAAGCTGCAGTGGCTTCAGTACTTTGCAACCTCTTCATATTACAGAAATTTCAATGTTCATAAGGAATAAACGGTTTAAAGTTGTTTAGATCAAACAGAGACTCAACCCAAAAGCGTGTATAAAAGAAACAATTGTAAAATGCCAAAGTTCTGAATCAATATTGGTGTCTAATCCCTTAAAATGGTTTATACATTTGTAATATAAAAAAATGCAATGAAGTGCTGCTTTCTCCGTTTGGCAGCAGACCGAGGTATGAGTCAGACTTTCCCTCCTCCTACCCAACCCTCTGTGGGAAGTGATGTCAATACAGTCTGCTGAAGCGCCCCATTCCTGGAGCAGCCATATGGGAGGGGGGGGGGGGGGGGGGGGGGTGCAGGAAGAGTCTGCCAGCACATTCCCAAGCCCTGTTCCTGCTTTTGTACAAAGAATTACAGGGAAACTGCAAAGAGAGCAGGAAGACCGACTCAGTGACAAAGAGGTCTGCAACAGAGACGGGATGAAGACGGAAACGGAAAAAAAAGGCCAGATGAATCACAACTCGAGGGGGGAAGAGTAGGGTCTGGTGTTTCATGTCAAAGGTGTGTTCAGTGTTCTGCAGAGTTCTGTTCTCTATTCCTTGCGGAGCCAGGAAGTGGAGCAGTCGATACTACGCTACGAGGACAACATTTCAGAGATGCACCGTCTTCGTGAAGTCTTATACAAAAGGTTTCCGCCTTGAATACTGAAGCATTTTTAAAGATTCACAGAATCCTGTTACATTATCAAAGCACAACAGGTGATAAACTATTGAAATATTTGGCTATGAAATACCCATCAAGGGTCAGAGATCCTTCTGAATGTCCTTCAAGGACAGTTAACCGAAGGGAAACGCTTGTCATTCCCTCAGACCTGAATCACTCTCCATGCATCTAACCTTCGCCGTACCTACACTTCAGTGTCAAAAGGTCCTTTTGTTCACAACCCCCCCCCAGCAATTACACCTCCCCCAGCACACGTAGTCACTGTGCACATTCTCAAAGTCATGAATATCGTGAAGGGTCTGGTGCAGCGAGGAAACATTTGTAGAGCTACAGAGATTATTGAATTTTTCACTATTGATTGTTTTATTGTAAATTAACACCCCTCACATTTAAGAAATTCAAACCCCCCGCCCTCAAAAAAAAAACACCTTTAAGGGGGAGAAAAAGGTCTACAAGCCAAAAGCTCAGAGAGCCATAACAACGTTAGCGATGCAGATTAAAGTGTGTGTTATGTGCAGAAAGGCACAGTGTGTGTGTGTGTCTCATTTTGTTTCAACCACTGCGTTCAATAGAAATCTGCGCATTCGTCTACAGGCACAGTTTCCCCTCCGTCGCTCTCCTAGACACTTGATCACTCTGCTCTTGGCGTATTCACAACTAGCTGGAAAGTGCTTCAGTCCTTCATTCAGACTGCCCTTAAATGGCTTTAGAGGCGAAAGGATGGACAGGAAAATAGTCACACACACACACACACACACACACACACACACACACACACACACACACACACACACACACACACACACACACACACACACGGGGTTTGTTAAACCCCTTTCCGGGAGGATGTGGAAACAGTAATAGGGGCGGAGTGGGCCTTGATGCAAAGCAGGCACAGTTGATCAGCCAGGGAGAAGGTTTGGACTCACTAGAGGGGGGAAGGGGAAAGTGCTTTTAAAAATCCTGCCCACAGTATAAAAACCTAAAGTCAGAGGGGGCCGGAGGAGGAACAAGGACAACTGCATCTACTCTATGTGGAGTTGGCATCAAGCACACACAGAAGAGACAACGGTTCAAACAAAACACTACACTTCATAACCGATCCACTGACTCTTCCTATAACAAGCTCCACAAGACTCAGCGGGGCATTTATAAATGTCACTCGCTCTGGTCCGGGACTTGTGACATTTATATTTTTTAGCGTTAACACGGACAACCCAACTGGCGATACGGGCGCAGCGGTGCGGGGCAAAGTGCCATCCCGAGCACTGCAGGCTGCACTCCGCCGGCCCGTCAGAGCCACCGCCTGGGGAGACGCCCGCTCCCGGTTTTGTGCTGCTCATCTCACGCCAGAGAGGCCTTTCACTAGTTTGACCAGTTGATCGACTGCGGTCAAAACGTCAAACTCCTCACGACTGCCGAGCACGTTTTGTTTCAGGCCTGTAAGTGTTGACTCGAGATTCTCCTCAGATCGGCGAGGTGTGCGTCTGTGTTTGTGTGTTGGCGCGAGCGGCATCGAGCAGCCTGCCCCTCTTAGCTGCCGACGACAATTCTGGCAGGAAAGGGTCTTCCACTGGCTGCCAGTGGGTAAACAACCCACCATATGCTCCCGTGCGTGTTCCATTACGACCGATATACAACCTCTCCATATTGCCGCAGTGTAGGAGCCCCTTTGGGGGGATTTACAGTATGTCAAGCATCACGAAACTGCCTCCAGCAGTCGATCAAATTGGTGAACAAGGGGGTATTTGAGGAAAACAACACGGGCATTCAAGACCGAGACAGAGGTCGAGATGGAGAACGCCTGCGGGGCAGCAACTGAACCTAGTTGAGAAAAATCCCCCGGAAAAACACCAACGATCTAAGTGCTACCTTCACGAAGGAAGTGACGCCATCGCAACCTGCTTCCTATTCAAATCGGCCGGCCCACTGTTCACTCAGGCACTGTACGTTTGAAAAAACACGTATTTAAGTGGCCAATTCAAACTAGTGAGTAATCAATTGTCGAAGGTTGCAGGAATGCAAAACTCCACTGCATTGATGTTAATTAATGGGATACTTTGTACGGACTGAAGAGACAGCGGTCACTCTTTGTCTTGTGCTAACAAAGCGTTAATTCAAACTCAACTTCCTGTAGAGCAGCGTGCAATTACTAGAGACGTATAAAAAATAAAAAATAAATCGCTGTAACCGGTAACAGATTGGTTGTGAAATGGATCTCTAAGGCGCCAGAGACAGATGCTGGTTAATCGCAGAAGAACTGATGGTAAAGTGGTTGGAACCGACTGGAAAGATATATTTCCTTTGCTTTTACTGAATTCCTCATTTGTGGAGGCAGCGGTTTAATCTTAGAAACACTGATGAGATGAGATGAGATGAGACGCCCCCCCCAACCCCTGGGGTTAAAATGTGATGGTCTCGCAGTGACATCCAGATAGAAGAAGCTCTTCATCATCAGCAGTATGCCAGCGGGGAGTGTAGATAATGCCCTCGGCAAATGTAAACATCATAAAGTAGGGCAAAGACTGTCGCGTGAGATAGGCCTTGATCCCGTGGAGTGGAAACTGATAACATCCATGGTACGCATTCCTGGGCTGTGAGAACGCAACGGGCCGTGACCAAGGGACCAGAGCGCCACATGGCCACAGCGACGCGATGACTCGACGTGATCACACCGCGACCTGGATACACACGGAGAGTTTGGAACGTTCTGAACTGGTGAAATCCTTAAATTGGCAGATCTGGAAAAAAACAACAACAACAACAACAGCGGTGTATAGGAGGTTCTTTACTCTGGTCTCAGATGTTCCAGAAGCCGGTGCGTCTTGTAAGCGGACTTCCTAGAAGCAACAAACCCAAGATAAAAATCAAAAGAAGGGGAGGTACTGCTCAGCACTTTCTCATACTTGTAGTCATCGGTCCCTCATTTTTCTCCAATCTGACGATCCGTGGGTTTGGGGATTAAACCCACATTTGGTCTCACTGCTCTCCAGCGGCCCCCCCGGCCTGCTTCCTTCTCTCCGTGCCTGGCAGATATTAAACTATTAGGCGCTGGAAGCAGCCTCCCACATTTGGGAGGTCAGCGCTGGCAGATTCGTGAACATCTGGAAGGCACTTTTGGGCCGGCAATAATGCTGCCTTTGTTCTCTCGCCACATCCACTGCTCGCCAGCGGCTTTTGAGGGGCCAGCAGGGCGGGCGGCGGGCTCCTTCCTTGGGGCAACCAGGGGCCTCTGGCCAAGGTGGACATGGAACAGTGGTTTGCACAAAAACCTCATCTTGTGCATTCAAGCATTTATAGAGATGCAGGTATTTGTCGAAAGGTGACAGACTAAAGGTCTTAGAACACAAGTGTCAAATTTAAAACCTCGACTGGGTTGAACAACTCCACAGGTTGCTTTCCACTGCACGCTGGATGTTTGTAACCAGCACACAGAACTGGGACTTTAAATAGACGAATACCAGATTATCACGTTACATTCACTGAAATTTTTTTTTTTTTTAAACAGATGTTGAACCTGGTGAGACGGCGCTGTGCAAAAAAGGCCAGCCCACATTAAGCAACATTTAAAGTGAATCTTTCACATGTTCGATTCCCCAAGACATTAGGCCTCCTACTAAGACTCCTCCAGGTCGGCAGCAGCGCTCGCTCGGTGTCTCGGCATTTAACATCCTCAGAGACATTACGCGTTGGCATCCTCAGTGGGACTTCACCTCTGCACGCGTCGTTGCGGGGGACTGGGACAGAAATGGCGCTATAGTGGGCCGTGGTGGGCTGCCGGAGGAGCAGAACTATTCTACTCCACTAATGTTTCCGTTATCCGAGCCTCACAACTACACGGCGGGGACCCGGCGCGGCGCATTCAGCTGTTTGTTATTAAAAAGGTCCGCGTGATGGTCTTACCTTTAAAGCTTAAATCAGGTTCACCGCAGGGTTCCTTGTCCCCGGGGGGGTTGTTTAGTCAGAAAACACAGGTAGAAAGGCGTGAACCCCGTAAAAAAAAAAAGTGTCCTTCTTCACCACCGGTCCCGGTAAACCGCGACAAAGTATCGTTTGTCCGCCGCGACAGAGTAGCGGAATGAAAGAGCCGGAGACGAATGGCGCGCTGGTCCTGGATGCGAAACTTTGTGTCCGACCTCACTGCGCGCTGGTCTTTCTGCGGTCTCACCAACAAGCTGCGGAAAAATCAGCCCGCACTCGGTTCTTTACTCCTGCTGGTAAATACCTCGCATTGGAACTGGGACACCGCAAGGCATTGTGGACTGTTTAAAGCTGCAATGCACTGTGAAGGGGAAAGGGAGGGGGGGGGGGTGTCTCATGCATGGTCCAATTGAGATTTGAATATTTATGTGCACCTGATTTATGCAGATTGAGGTGGTTCATGATCTACTTTCGCCGTAACTAAAGTTGTGTATTTGCAAACTAACAGCCTCTGTAAACCAAACCGATGTCACGTTGTACAATTGCAAATGAGCCAATTTGTATACTGTTGAAATGCAGCGGCGTGTATCACATCACGTGTGGATCCTATAACCGTAACCTTATAAACAGAGGACTTACACTGGTAATAAGGCGAACATGGTTGTATTTTCACTTCACCTGACAGAAAAACAAGTGGGTAAACTTCTGGAAAACACACAGCTGAAGTAAATCACTTTTGATAACGGGACCAAACACCAGCGGAAACATGCTGCCCTCTTGTGACCAAACACGTGTTCCTGTTTCAGCTGGATGTTTATCGCCTCTGCGGGGAGTCCAGCAGCTCTTACGTCATCGAGTCTGGGCCAAAGGCCACGATGAAGTTAATTACCGGACGTGACGTCTGAACATGAAGAAGTCTCTTCTTACTGTCGAAATATATTCCTCAATTGACGGAAGGGCGTTTTATGAAAGTGATGAACAAATAGAAAATAAACTTTGATAACTGACATTTTAATCTTTGGCAAATCCTTCTTATTATGGAGCCTTTTCACAGCAGACTTTTTACCAGCAGGAAATCACAGGCCTAACTAATGATGTTAACAATGTCTATTCCATTGTGTAAAATAAGATGCAGCCATCATTCTTGTTTTCAGATCCTTGATTTTACTATTATGAGATGTCAAAATGTTACACGGTTAAAACATAGTTTGTCATGTATATTATATTACATGCCAACCGAAATTGATTAATTACTTTTGCATGCTTTTAAAGTGATTTTTATAGAAATGCAATTCTTGTGAGATTCTTTATCTTTACTTTCACTGCTCGCGTTAAAGTTGTGTTTAACTGTTTTACCAACAGGTAAACCTAAAAAAGTAACATGGCCATTATTGGGGAAACAAGTTCCAGATTATCTTCACACTAAATTCCCTTTTGCAAACTATAACTGCCAGCGCATTATATTTGTGATAATAATATGTATGTTCATATGGATTAAAGAAGGAACTATAATGGCTAAAATAGGAATGTATTCTCCCTTCTTCATTCTGTATATTCAATTCAATTCAATTCATTTTATTTTGTATAGCCCATAATCGCAAATTACAAATTTGCCTCAGAGGGCTTTACAGTCTGTACACATACAACATCCTCTGTCCCGAAACCCACCATCGGCACAGGAAAAACTCCCCGAAAAAATGAAAAAACCCTTCCAAGAGGGAAAAAAGGGAAGAAACCTTAGGGAGAACGTCAGAGGAGGGACCCTACTCCCGGGATGGACAGACTACAACGGATGCCATGTGTACAGAATGAACAATATATAATACATGCAATTCCTATGACAGAAATGATTCAAGTAATAGTAAGCCAGGCGCACAGCAGGACCACTGCAGGGGCAACCACCATCAGATCAGATATATGTACATTGATTTCATGTACTGTTGTGCAGGTTCATGTCAAATATATATATATAAATATATTTTTACATTCAACTACTAAATATAGTCAGGAAATTAAAAAGAGTCGGCTTGAGATGTACATAAAACAGACAGAACAACGAAATATGAATATCCAAATTAAAAAATCTATGTCAAAAATATACAATAATATTTCTTGCACACAAATAATTATTTATTCTAGTCGAAATAGTTAACCCGTGTAAACTCACGATTTCTATTACGATACATCTCAAATAATCATTTGGATTAAAATGGACCTTTTATTCTCTTTAAAATGTGTGGTTTCAGTAGAAGCTGTTCAGTTTGGAGGACTATAAATAGTGACCTCTAGTGTCTCTGCGGCCTGAGATAAAAATATTAAAACACTGTACTGTCGTTTTCGTTGTATTTTATTTTATTCTTTATAACAGTTTTCTGTGTTGCTGCTACAGGCTATTACATTTCACGGATGGTCATCCAACAGACTCTTAGGATTCCTAAGACTGTTAAATTTCATATGTCCTGAAAAAGACCTTTGTGCTCAAATAACTACGTATCTACCAAATGGATAGAAACTACATTACAAAAGGTCACTACAAGCGGACCTATTCTGTAATTTGTTGTCGTTTGGGGCCCGTGTGTCGTTATCGATCTGGTGTGTGTGACGTGTATGCGCATTGACTGCGCAGGCGGGAGCCCAGTGAGCGCTTCAGTAAACTGACAGGGGATTGCCAAATCATTTCCTTGCCTGGGAATGACGTCCCTCCAGCGCGATTGGGTTATATTTAGAGCCTATATATAGTGGAGTCGCCCCCTAGGCTTTGTTGACTCTGCAGCAGCGAGGCATCGCCGCGCCGGGAGGAGACGTCCTGAGACGGACACCACGTGACCCACGTTGGTGCCACATTGTGTGTGATCTTTAAAGCATAAACGTGAATGACCGTGACTTCTGAAATTAATAAATAAAATAAACGTGGCAACGACTTGAGCACACATGTAGCCGAGCCGGCGTGTACACTTTAACAAAAGCCAGCAACTCGCGTGTCTGTGCATCTTCTATTTTAAATAAAACACCCCAAAAAAAACCACTAGATTATATTTACAAAGGAAACACGTAAGAGTATTGTTTCCTACATTGCGACACAGGAGTTGGGCGATATGACCCGCGCCGGTTGCAGCAGCCAGCGATGCTTTCTGGGTAAAGTGCGCTGCGGTATCCGCCCATATTCGCTGAAGGAGGCCAACCTGAGCAGCGAGGCCCGGACGCCGGATCAAATGGAAAGTTCAATCGATTAATTTGCCTACATTTTTTTTTTTTACCCCTTTCACAAGTTTTACCCCGCTCGCTTTTGTCACGAGGTGGTCTTGATTTAAACACGGGGAGGGGGGGGGCCTTCGGTGTGAAATAGGAAATGCAGAGATCGTGTGAGGCGAGAGGATTATCAGCTTGACTTATTCGGTCGCTACTTCGGACGCGGAACTGCACTCGTTCAACGGTAAAATGTCATTAATGCGTGTGTGTCGCTTTGTGGTTTTCTGCAACGTCGTGTTTTCATTGATTTCTATCACACAGGTTCCGCTTGCCTTGCAACGTATCCACCGGAATATGTCCTCCATAGTGAGCGCATTCATTCCGTCGGTAGTGCAAACTACGCCCAGTCGTGAACCTCGCGTCTGGCCCTGCAATGCAGACCTTTTCGGCTAAGCCCGTCAATGGCGGCCTCCCACTCGCCACCATTTACCCCGTCCCCCTTTGTTTTGAATGAATGGTACCGAGTGTGTGTGTGTGTGTGTGTCCCCGGGTAACGCTAACCCCCAAAACCCAGTCGCTCTTTGTGTTACCACACGGGGGTCGGCTTGTGGGCGCTAGCGTCGGTTAGCTCGGCGGGCTAGCCGCGATGCTAAACTAGCAGCCTGGCGATTTAAACCACAGCGCGGAGGGTTTTTTCTTTTCTTCCCCCCTCTGACGCCCAATATGGCATCTAGCGGGCAACGGACCAGTGGCTTTAAATCAAATTCCTTTAGACTCTCCAGCCTGCGGTGGATGGTGTTGCCTGCTCGGACCCAGCGGAGAGGGCTTCCCATCTAAAGGCCTGATTTACCCGCAGTTCATGAGCTGCTACCAAGCGGTCCGCCGTTAATCCACAGTTGCTAAATAAGTCATTTTTCTTAACGCTTTGCTCATTTATCATCGGGGGAGACGAGCTTGCTGCCGTGACGGTAAATTAAAGGGTAGCTGTGTGTACAGTGGCCTCCAGGTGGAGTTTTCACACCGCAAACCTCCACAGGGGCAGCGGTGTTTTCGGGAAAATATGTTTTCCATTTAAATCCAAACAGTTTCCCACGTTTAACCACAGCGTGGAGTCACCGAGCCGCGAGCGAGACTGCGTATGTCAACGTGTTTAAACGCACAAATTAGTCAGCGAAAAAAAGTTTACTTATTGGACTTTTTTTTTTAATATTCTGTATTATACATGACCTTTTCAATTAGTCCAATAATTTGCCTCAACAGCACATTGAGTCACCCTCACTGTCCAGACGCTGTGTCATGTAATTCTAACCGGAATGTGGCAGACAACTTTCCTCACTTGCTGAAATGATCTGTGATAATGTCAGTTTCTTTTAGCTGTATAATGTGTTTTCCTGATGGACAGAGGGGCCCTGCTGCGCATGCGGAGTTGGGCCGAATATATTAAACATGCACCCCAAGCATATTAGGTGTAGTAAGAAGGAAAAAAATTGCAGCTAATGTCGGCCAAATAATAGCCATCAAACCACATTCTGCGCTCTTTTGTTTTGTGTGGAAAAGGCCAGTGGTATTCAGGGAACTCCTCCCTGACTGCAGGCTGTGCAGGCTGAGCGATGTGCACTGTTAACTTGTGCACAGGCCAGCTGCCACTGTTTGACAGGGCGCCGCTCCACAAAAGCTGCCAGGCTTTTAAACATTTTGTTGTTTTGGAGCCTTAATGTAATGTTATATATCGCTGCCCGGTGTTAGTTTCTTGTTGTGTCTGTGCTACTCTGAAAAATACCACTGCATGTGTTGCTGGAACCCCCACATTTGGTTTGGCACGCTCCCAGTCCCCTGTTTGCACATCATCAGCGTGGAGCCTGGCTCAGCAAAATCTCAATCAGCCAATTGACGAATGGCAGTTGTTTGGAAATATCAGAGTATAATGTTTTTTATTTTTCGGTCCCACAGGTGAATCATGACAGAATATAAGCTGGTAGTCGTGGGAGCTGGTGGCGTTGGCAAGAGCGCACTTACTATTCAGCTCATCCAGAACCACTTTGTGGATGAATATGACCCGACCATTGAGGTAAGGAAACCGTGTGTGTTTTCTTCACTCTTTTAAGGGTTAATTAAGTATGCAGTGTATCCAACTAGATGTTTAAGGTACAGATGAAATTAATGATTATTAAACTCTGTCATCCACAACCAATACCTTATTCTTTTCATTAAGCTGACCTATGGACACCCGGCCGATTAAGTCCACGTTCTAATTACCGTGCGACCTCCTCTACCCAGGACTCCTACAGAAAACAGGTGGTGATCGATGGCGAGACGTGTCTGCTGGACATCCTGGACACTGCAGGTCAGGAGGAGTACAGCGCCATGAGGGATCAGTACATGAGGACAGGGGAGGGTTTCCTCTGTGTCTTTGCCATCAACAACACCAAGTCCTTCGAAGACATTCACCACTATAGGTAAGCTAAGAGACTGAAGGTGTGGGGTCAATGCGACAGTATGGCTTTAATCGCACTTGATAGGGAGGATATTTTGGAGTGTGAGAGGCTATATATGTAATCAAAATGTCCCTGATTTGTCATTCTCATTTTCCATCTATCCTTTTTTTGTTTCTTGTGTTCTGCCCACAAGTCTAGAAACGGCCAAACTGTTCAGGAAATTACATACGTTGAAAAAATTGCAGCTTTTAGCAAAATCCAATCGTGTGTGTGTGTGTGTGTGTGTGTGTACAATGTCTTTTTTTCAGAGTGGTGTGTGTGTAATATAATCAAAGGATATACCCATTGTGTCCGTCCATCTGCAGAGAACAGATAAAGCGGGTGAAGGACTCCGAGGACGTCCCCATGGTGCTGGTGGGGAACAAGTGTGACCTCCCGTCCCGGACTGTGGACACCAAGCAGGCTCAGGACTTAGCACGCAGCTACGGCATTCCCTTTATCGAGACCTCAGCCAAAACCAGACAGGTGAGAGTCCAGCCCGAGACGGCCACGCCCTCAAGACTCAAAGCCGTTCAGCCGTTTTCGTCCGTGTGCAGCATTCAGCTCCGGGCTTGTAGCGTGTGGAATCCACACGTGTTCAGGAGTATTGGCTTAATGGACACAACGGTCCCATGAATTCAAATTATATTCCTTCATGGAGATTTAGTGTTTTTGACAAGCGTCCTTGCAGAGGCTTGACAATCTTGGCACTTGCATTGAGTCTTGTGGTGCTGTTGCTTTGGGTCACACATAGTGGTATTTTAAAAATGATTTTAATAAAGTTGCTTGGAAATGTCTCAGGTGCTCATCCTCAAATCCTCTTTGGTCAATTTTTTTTCTCCAATGTATGGGTGATAATGTAATCGCTGCATGCAACTTTCTCGTGGGTATGTGAAATTATATCTCGTTGGTTCCCATCTGCTGAGGATCCTGCACTATAAATAATCGGCCAATCAGTAAACGTGTGTTAAGCATGAGAGGACAAACTGTCAGTAATTCCCCGGGGGTTAATAATTCTGCTTCCTGGTTACCGTGACCGGGTGTTCTTGGAAGATTTTTCCGTGGCTCATCAAACGGTGTGTTGGTACTTGTGAGCATGGCCTCAGGCAGCCGATTGACCGACCCAGTGCTCTATCAACACATCTTTTCCTGATCTCTCTCCGACCTCTGGGGGGTGAATCACTGCTCATTCGGGTGCGGGGAAAATGAATGACACCATGATTAATTTCTTACAGATTGGTTTACCTATTCATACACGAGTGCACCATTAATTCACGGTTCACACTGTGCTGCTGCTGTTGCAACTTTCTCTTGCAATCAAAGCCACCAGTTGTTGGCAAAGTCTACTTCTCTGGGAAACTTTTTGTATAATGCACGATCAAAATATGCTCAGATTGCATGCACTTCTCCTTTTTTATATTAGACGAGCACTTGGTGATACTCCAGCCTAATCTTTTCCGTCACACTCACCCACTGGAGGCATAAAATCTGTTTTTGGAAGTTTACAGCTGGATACTTTTAGTTCAGTTGGAGCAGAGTCCTACGATGAGACTTAAAATACAAATTCTCAGACTGCTCCGGCACCATAATGAACCACCTCCACTGCTCCAAACATTGGTCTTCTTGCCAAAATGTATCTAAGTGCACTATCTCGGTAAGCGCTTCAGCTGCATTTTGGCAAAATTCCTGATCGTTTGGAAGCAACGCAGTGGGACACATTTTAAGGACACGCCCCCCCCCCCTCCTCCTCCTGCCACCAACAACCATTGCAATTCTATAAAGCTTTTCATTGAAGAAGAAAAAAAAAAGGTTGTCACAGGAGGTGAGTGTTCTTTAATCCGCAAGACGTTTGGGTGGAGTATAACTTTTATATGAGGCGGGCCAGACGGCAACACCCACTTCAACACATTGCTGCACTGGTATCTGTAAGCTGTAACACATGCACCCATTCAGTGTGTCCTCCTGTGTTCATCAACATTGAGGGAAGTTGTGTCTCTAATGCCGCAGAGGGTGGAAGATGCCTTTTACACTCTGGTACGGGAGATCAGGCTGTACCGGCTCAATAAGCTCAGCAAGGAAGAAAAGACGCCGCGCTGTGTCAAGCTTAAAAAGTGTGTTGTGATGTGAAAGGGGTAAGTTTTATGCAGCCGCGCGCCCATCAGCTCTCTGTCCGTCTGTGCGTGTGTGTTGGTGGTGGATTGTGGAGACGTTAAGGGGAAGAGGGCGCTCACTCAAAGCCAACCTGCTGGTTCTCTACTGGGCGCTGTGGTGGAGCTCTGACGAGGCTGAAACCAGCACAGGATTTTATTCCCCCCCCCCCCCCCCCTCCTGTTCAGTGTCTTCACGCTGTCTACTTTTGTGCCAATCCGGGGATAAGTTGCGTAATTCTTTCCTCATCAAGATGCTATTTGAGTTTCCATAAGGAAGTGAGGCATCTGGGTGTGATGAAGATGGATGCTGGTCATGCACTTCCACGTGAGCACCATGGAAATAAGGCCGGCGTATGAAAAAATGAGAAATAAACATATCTCGACTGGCCGCCTGGTGGGAAAGCTCTAAAATGGTCTCCCTTTAAGGCTGTTTCTGCTCCAACACCAGTGAGGTATTTCAGGTCCTCGTTTGATAGGGAAGAAAACATTAATTCAAATAACCACTGAAACGTATTGGAAATGACCTGCACACGCGGTGTGCTACAGCGCCCCCTGTAGGTTGCTTTGGTCTGCACCCGTGTTCAGGAAAAGGCACATTTCTGGGCAACTTGCTCTTAGATTCTGACTAAACTACCAGTGTGGGGGCGAAGGAGCCAACGGGTTATTGTACGACATGCAAATCTGGGACCAAATCCTGTGCTGATGATCTCACGGAGGATGTGATCCACAAAATTAGAAGATATGATGATGATGATGTTGTTGGCTCCAAATCCCGTAGTCTTTCCTTTCTTGCTTTCGCCACTACGTCACCTCGCGCGAATGGCACTCAACACGCTGTTCCACGCGCCGGCCTCTGTCCGGCATCGACCCGGCAATAGCTGTGTCGACACGGGGCCATTTTATTCACTTGTGGTCGGAACATTTAAAAGCCTCATGTCGACACAATTCATTTTTTGTTTTAAACAATTCTGTTTGCTTTTGCCCAAACCCACAGCGGTAGTCAAATGTTGGCGCAAGCAAAAGTTTGCTTGTGTTGGCGGATGGCGCATAGATTAAACAAATGTAAATGACTTAACGGCCATTTAAACATGCTGCGGGAGTTCGGCGGTAAATAAACTGGCTCATGTAGCTGCAGCTGATGTCCGTGTCGCCGTGGGAACACTGTCGTTCCCTCTGAAATTAATTATGTTTGATCTGTACTTTATTCATCTGTCTCTCACAGGCTGAAATGGAGTGAGAAATGCAACAGCACTCTGATGTGTGTCATGCTGATGTAAACGTTGACCATATCAAACATTTTTTTGGAGATTGAAGTTTGACACTTGGGTTTTGAATTGGGAGAAGGGGGGGGAAAAAAAAAACCCTGACGTCAATTTAGACATTTTTGTCTCTTTTGAAGTCCAGACTACACATCAGTTTGATATCTACTATCGGAGTGTTGCTTTGGGGTTTGATCTGTCCCTAATGATGATTTCATGAGCGTTGGATTACTGTATAAACTGAGTGGCTTTTAAATTATCGCCTCTGAATCAAAAAACATCAACCATCAGTCTGGAATGGTTTTAGATTGCTTTTTATTTTTCCAATCATTGGTTTACTGTTACGAAAATAACAACCTGACACTCAATAATAATTCCTTTTTTTATTGTTTATTTTTTTTCCAGGGTGTTGATGACGCCTTTTATACATTAGTGAGAGAAATCCGGAAGCATAAGGAGAAGATGAGCAAGGAGGGTAAAAAGAAGAAAAAGAAGTCCAAGACAAAGTGTACCCTTATGTGAATAATCACCGCTTTTCAAGACCGACTAAAATAGAACTATGTTGAACAGTTAAAGTAATACATTTTGTACATTACACTAAATTATTAGCCTCTTTCTCAATACCCACCATACTGAATACTAAACTTGACCCCCCTCTCTGCCTTTATTGTTTGCTACTCGGACACCAGTATGCTTTATTTTCAGTTTAGTGCCAGTTGCTCACATGTGTTGGTCCAGCCGTTTGATGTCATTGGATGAATTTACATTTTCTTTTTGTATAAATACCTAATGGAGCGCTAAGCTAATTGCATCACAGCTCACGTTTTGATAAATTATTAATTACCAAGTCCCCCCCCACCTCGTTTATAAGTTCATTCATGACCTGTAAGATTTTTTTTTTTTTTTAAACTTTGGGATGCCAAAGAATGAACTTTCATTTGATTGTCGTGGACACAACGGATTGGAGGGCGGGACCAGCATTCAGCCAGATGAGATCCAAATGTTCCAACAACCGTGTGAGCGTCTCCTCGGTATGACGTCACCATGTCACAGATTAGTATGCATGCAAACCCCTCTCCTAATATTTTAACAACCTAACTAGCTATTCATTAATTTGCAATTTGTCAATGCTTTGTACTTTGTGGGGAGTGACTTCTTGCCTTCATGAGATGTTTTTTTTTTTTTTTTTTGCATGCAATGTCGTAGACACCACAAGTATTTCAAACGTCCCCTGATGATGCAGCAGTGGGGATTTTACGCTTTTTGTTTTCGGGCTTGTATGAATAAAGTAATCATCACTCGCTTTGGTGAGTAGCAAATCTGCCATTCTAACTCGACTAATGACAAATTCAGAGTTGGATATTCTTTGGACTGTTGAACAAGGGCCAGTGCCATTTCATGTTGCAGGGATTCATGCCTCATGACCGCGACTACCAAGCAGCTTGTTGGACCTCAAACCATGCCTGCTTTCTTGTACTCTATTGCTATTTGTTACAAAACAGTTGAGTTTTCCTACTCGACCCGTACGAGGACCGTTTATTGGCTCTCTAGTCAACGTTTGTCAGGTTGTCTGCGGGTCGGTGATTCTCCAGTAGCTGGCAATAGAGCATCCTGCCTTGCACATTTTCCTAAGCTGTGGACTCGTTTGTTCGTGACTGGCTAGAAAGCCGCTGCTTTCAGGAGCGTTTCTCGGTGTCAGAGGTCGTTTCAAAAATGTTTTCCAAAATGGACTTTCAGATTCTTCCTTTTCGTTGGGTTTTTGAAGTGTTGAAATTGTTTGGTGGGCTGCCTTTCAACAGAAATGATTGTCCAGCAAGGTAATTTGTCATTTTCTCTCACAAAGTTTGTTTATCGTGGTGGTGTAACTGGAACTGATGTTTTTAAATGAGGCAATAATTGCCATGAAATTGGTTTTTACAGAGGATTGTCTATTAAGTCCCAGATCAACTATTTGCAAGCTGTTCCCCTAGGGATTTTTATTTGCCTGTTTTGTTTGCATTAGGTGCTCCATGTAGAAAGAGACCAGTAAACATTTACTTTAAGATGGGAATGCTCAAGAAATGGACAAAATGCCGTTCCAGCAGAGCAAAGAGATTGATACAGAAAATCCACACATTATACATTTTTCTTTTAGGATTAATGAATTTTGACTTTATCATTACCTTTTTTTTATTCATTTAGTAGAATTGCATCAACAGTTATTATCTAACTGTGGAACCCTCTCGTTAACCAAACGGTTTCAAAAGTAGTTTTACTGAAATGTTTGAATTGTTCCTCTTTTTTTTTTTTGATTGCGTGCCAACAGCTAAATTCTGAAATGTATCATTTATACCTGGATCATATTTTAACAACATTTGTATAGTTGTGATACTGAAGGTTGCATATTTTGTAAATTGTGCTTAATTTTGTTGGTGTGTCTAAATGAATGTTGCTTTATAGGAGTTCCGCTCTGTGTATGTGATTAAAGTGTGTGTGTGAGAGAGAGAGAGAGAGTGAGTGAGAGTGTGATTGGGTCCAGGTCGAGGGAAGTGAATGAATGAATGACCACTTTACAACACACCTGTTGTGGGCAGTGCACCGTGGTGATCTGATCTCACACCAGTCTATTTTTGCCATGAATCTCACCACTCCTATTTAATGTGTATTAAAGAACAAAGAAGAGAGGAACTTTGTCTTTCTTACTGAAATTGTCTTGATTTTTAACATGTTTGGTAAGTTATCGCATCGAGGCCTATGGGCCGTTTTATGAGCTCGTGAATCGACCTGTTGAAGTGATGTTTTCTATCTGACTTTAAATGATATCGCTGCTGCCCAGCAGGTGGCACTATTCACTCATTTTGAGTTTTTCAGAGATAAAGGGTTATTCTACTAGCTGCCCAAGGAGTGAACAGCGATCACCCTTTGGCAAGTAGTCATGTTTATTTTCCCCAAAATACCAAGATTTTTCTTACATGAGAAAAAGGGTACTAAACAGTTAAATGATTGGCCTGTCACTTTTGGTTTAAGTAATCATTTCATGCATTGTCAACTTTATTATACACTGTAAACCCGGATTTTGTTTCTAATTAAACTTACGAGTGATCATTACTTATTCTTTTATGTTTAGTAAAAACCTGCTATTATTACTAAACAACATTAGTTGTTAGTACTAATTAGCTGAAAAATTCATTGCACTAATCATTTTTAGCACAGATAACTCGGTATGTTTACTTTTGCAATAAAGGGGAGGGGCTAATTCAAAAAGCTGCCTGGTCACGTGACCAGACCAACGTCCAACGTGCGTCCAAGGGGCTCTTCACTTGGCGGGACGAGCACAGGCATCGGCAGCAGACGGAATCCAAGAAAGCAACCTTACCACCTCGAAGTGGAATGGTTAGTATGTAAAATAACTATTGTAGCCTAGTTATCTTTGTGGGAATGTTTAATACCCAAAAGCCTGCAGATAATTTGACGCAGCTTTTATTTCCGTCTAATGTTAATGTTTGAACCTGTGCATGGTGTTAATACATGATTATTGCTAAAACTAGCTAGCTAGCTACTCAAAAAGTGTTAGCTGAACTTAAAGTTAACTTAGTGTTAACAGTCTGAGGACGGCTCGCATACCGTTAGTTTGTTCGACTGTATCACTTATTCAACCGTCATTTTACGCAATAGAAAAACGATTCAACCGCTGTCGGGGCAAATTACATCCGCTGTGGAGGTGTTTAGCTACACCCGAGCTACTTGCAGCCATTGATTCACTGGTCGCTCTCTTTTCCCCTCTCACTCTCTACACACGCCTGCTAGAAACAGGACCGACGGCTATTTCACGCCACACGCAAGCATTGGAAGCGTTTCCAGGCTAAATTTTATATGAAAAGATATATTAGTATATTTCATTTTGACATGAATACAAATTAATAAATGGCATGTTGATGTTCGAAAGTCTCGAGTTTATGACATAAATGCAGATATACAAATGTAATTTAAAAAACAAAAAGATGATCGATTTTCAAATATTGCACCTGTACAGAATGCAATATACTGTAGTGTATTTACCGTCAATACTGCCGACGTTGTCTTTGCTGTAATCAAATCAGTATATATTGATGTGTAACATGAAGTATACTGCTTGAGTGCAGTAAATCAATGGGAAACATGCATGTGTCCAGACAAGGCTAGCAGCAGCAGCGCCGCGTCCGACACGTTTCTGGTGTGAAAAGACAGAAAAATCCACGCAACTGACATGCAACAGAAATGCCACGCCGGCAGTGTGTAACCGGCCTCACACACGCTTGTTTTCATGCCGGTTTTCTCTGTAACACAGGTGTTGTTTCGGTTTTATTACCTTATTGTATTTAACAGTGACATTGTTGTGCTGAGTTGTTGACCTAAACAGTTTCTTGTTTTACAGATTCTTGTGGTGTGAGGATGCTGTGGAAGTGTAAGTACTGTGAGTTTATCTGTGAGAAAAGGGGTTACCTTTTAAAACATTATCGGTTAAAACACGGAAACTATGGTAGAACTGTCCCATTTCCCTGCTTACACCAACAATGTGTGTGCATTTGATCAGGCAGCCCTGGAGGGTGCCTGTAAAGACTTGGTTGATGAAATGCAGAAGAGAACACCAAATGGACCTCTTGTGAAACAGAAGATGGATCAGACGTTTGCTCTGAGAAGAAAAGAGGTAGTGGAGTCGGAACCTGCCATAAGCACGATGGTGAGATGCTGGCCTGCCCTTTTCACTGAAGATCAAGTATGTTTAAGAAAGAGAACATAACAAATAATTATCTTTCTATTATATAATGTGTCTAGATGTATATTTCTCTTGTCCTCTTTAAAGGAAATATTGGTATTCTTAATTTGGGGCATGATGTTTTTAATTTAAACATCAACATTTCAAATCGTATAAAAAGGACATTCATGGATGTTTTTCAGGACAGCACTACTTCGCAGATGGCTTAGCTGCCTTGTATAGTTCAGTTGATCTAAATTCAGATTTTTATTGTTCTCTGTATTTTTCAGGTCTTCATGGAGTTCAGCAGGATTGTGGGCAAGAACCTCAAGACGGAATTCTATGAGAGCATCGACCGGCACAGTCATCGTCTCCTCGAGTTATTTGGATCCAAGAGAGGGAATGTTGGACAGTTGTTGACACATATTTTACAACAGACCAATGTAAGTCCATACACATTATGTACTTGGCATTGTTTTTCTTGGGTTAGGTATAAACATCATATCACTATGCTACTCTATTAGTTGCATAATTCTATCCAAACATTGCTCGGCCTGTTTAAGATTTCTTAGAGATCATTATTTGTTTTTCATTTGAGCTATCTAACTTGTGGTACTGTGTTTAATTCCCAAAAGACTACAGAGCCAACTGAGTGTCAGAGGGCTTCCTATCATCCTGGGGACAACCCCACAGACCTCTTCAAAGGAGGCTTTGTAAGTAAGCTCTTGCTTTCTTATCATTTTTAATGAAAGTTTTTTTTCAACTGAGAAATAGAATGTAATGAGTGGGCTCTTCTGTTTTTCTTTATTTAGGAATCTGACGATGAGGATTCTTTTTGTGACCCAGACATTGGGATACTTCTTATTGAGCGTGAAGGTGCTGTGCTCACATCCTCCCAGCATCTCAGTCCAGCCTCGTTGGAAATCATCATTGAGGGAGAAGTCGTGATGGACAACATTCAAGATCTGCCAAAAGCAATGTGCATTCTGTTTGGACTCATGTATGCACTCCATCTTAACTACCCCAAGACTATGAAGCTCACATTTCAGTTCATCCAACAGGTATTGCTCTTGTTAGGCCACACTGACCTAAAGCCAAAGCTACAGACTTTGAAAAATCAGCTCGCAATGTAAAGAGATGTCAAGTCTACTTTTAAGAAACTGTTGACTATTTTTTTTTTCTTACCTGTGGGGTAAACCCTTTTATTTTCTGTAAAACAGGTGGACAAACAGACGCATAAAACGCACACACACACACACAGACACATACAACACCCACAAACAAAACTGACACACCTATACACATATTTTGTGGGAAGCGTGCTAAAGGATGTGACTTGTAGCGGAGTTGTAGCGGAAAGACATAGGAGATTGTTATATTATATACATGTTTCAGTTCTTCATCAGTCTATGTAGATGGAATTAGATATTGTTCTGATATGATAGTCTGTTGGTTCATGCTCTGGCCTCCCTTCATTGAGGCAGATGAAACGGATCCTTTTTGTGATTAGCTGTGTTTGCCCATTTTTCTTAAAGTAAAATGCATTGGAGCATTTACAGGTGTTTCTGTTTTTTTTATCCAATTTAATTGAAACAATGTTTAATAACGTATTTAAATACCAATCAAAAGCAAATTAAATTAGAGGAAAATACAATAATTGTGTTAAATGATGAGTAGCAATAACAAGTCATAATAGCTAGTTTTATCTAATGATTTTGAGTACACACTACTAATAAATATAAATACTAAACTTAAGGTTCCACGTTAATACAACGCAACATGTTTAGTTTCAGCTTGTATAAAAACTTAAGGTTCCACGTTAATACAACACAACATTTCTAGTTTCAGGTTGTGTAATAACGTAAGGTTCCACGTTAATACAACGCAACATGTTTAGTTTCAGGTTGTGTAAAAACTTAAGGTTCCACGTTAGTACAACGCAATATGTTTAGTTTCAGCTTGTATAAAAACTTAAGGTTCCACGTTAATACAACGCAACATTTCTAGTTTCAGCTTGTGTAAAAACTAAAGTGGGATAGGGCAACGGGTTTCCACGCGATTCGCGAGTAAAGTCAACTAATTCGGGTTTACAGTGTACTTAATGGTTAATGAGGAAGTTCTCATTTCCAAAATTCCAAAAAATAAACTTTCCTTTCTCAGCAAAAGGAGATATTTAACATGGATGTGTTTTGGGATGTCATTAAATGTATATCCGACCGATATAATTTAGAAAACCATCTACATATTAATGAATGTGGCGAGAGCCTCAATTCAACGGGATACATATTTGATCATTGAACTGCAGGTTCCCAAGGTGACTCGTCTTAACTCATCCTAAACAAACAAGCTCAAACTCGTTCAAAGGGAGAAACATTTAGCTTTCAAACATACATTTTCAAACACATTTGCCAGTAACCAGCATTATTCAGACAATGGGCTAAAGAACACCTCCCATCATTGCAAGATATACTCATTAAATTTGTTCCAACACAACTGTCCTCTTAGGGTTCCCTCTCTAAAGCCGCTGTCGGTTTTGGCTTATATGAGATTTGTTTTTGTAGGATGTGTAATGCTCTGACATGTTAGTGATGTCACATGAAAGTTAAAGTACTGTATTTGGCAATACTGTATATTCATTTCACTCATTTTATGGGCGTTTCGTTTTGCATTATTTCCCCCCGATAATTGTTTTGCTGTGTATGCAAAATGGGAACTCTAAATTTCAAGATTTATATTGACAAAATGGAACTATGGCATTCAGGACAGAACGGAACCAGCAACTTTAATTCTGCCGGATAATTTAGAAGTTTACAGGGGAAGTCAAGTTTTTTTTTTTTCAGCATGAGTATATATTGGAAAAGTTTCATACAAATGTAGAATTTCTTTGCTTATATTTTCTGCATATCAACAACAAAACATTTGTTTTACGTCATTCATGTTCTGCCAAACAAAGCAAGACTCCTCAATGATCTACGTTAAGTTTTCTGCCTTGCGTTAGTTACCGATCAGTTGCTATTGCATTACAGGTCATTTAGCTGACGCTTTTATCCAAAGCGACTTTGCATTGCATTTTTAACCCATAGCTTTTTACAGTTTTGCCTGGGGAACAATTACACTTCAACATGGGCCATGGTGCAGCCGGGGGTCGAACCACCAACCTTGCAGTTATCAGCGCACCCTCTCTACCCCTGCGCCACGTCGACTATTGAACAGATTCGCTCTTGAACTTTATTGTTGTAACGGCAAACTGAAAATGCCTGAAACCAGAGATTCCATTCCAAGAATCATTTCATAGAGCATGCCAGCGCAGAGACAACAAAGAGCAGCGCCCTCAGCAACATCTCTGCGGAGGTGTTTTAGAGGTCAACACAACTCTGCATCGGCCCTGTTTCACATGCAGTTGTCCTCCGGCTGCTGCAACACGTTGCATCGTGTGGTTGAGGGTGTGCTTGTTTAGTCATATTCTGTGAAAGGGAATGTCATGTAGCATCAACCGCGAGATGTTTTTTCTTTTCAGGTTTCCGCAAAATAAATGCCAGATCGTTTTTGACCCGAGACGGCGTACACGCTTCAAAAGGACGCGCCTGTGCACGTGTCACGCGTGTGGGATAATTGGCTGCGAAGCGATGCTCTGTGTGAAAGCAACCTCTAAAGCTCTTTCCTGTTTGGGTCCACTGTCCAAAGTTGTTTATAGGTCTGGCTTATTACAAATGAAATATGGTGGTTTATAGGTGTTCGTTCTTTGCGGCCGTCTGATTATTCCGTTTTTTTTTTTCATAATTGTTCCACACTGGGGAAGGAGAAAGCTCTTTTCAATGGAAGTTAAATTGTTTCCAAACTGTTGCTCCGAACAATAAACTCTGGTAACATATTGTGACAAGCTCTATTACTCTTTCTTCTTAAACAATGGGGCTACGCTGCCTGCCACACAACCGCCAAGAGGGAAACAGAAAGGAGATCTAATGAATTATGCAGAGGGAGCTTTCTCTCTCAGCCTGACAGTCTGAAACCAGCCTGGAGAAATCTGCGAGAGAAGTATGAGTCAGTGGAGGCATTACAAATCCTCTCCCCCACCCTCCCCCCCCAGGGACGGCCCAGACCAACGCCTGTCAGTCAAGATCCCCCGTCCCTAAACTGCAATCTGGGCACAGTGCTGAGAAGCCTGCGAGGTCTGAAGAAGCGAACCGATTTGGTGGCACTCGCGGGCGAACAACTGTCCCCGGACGGGCTCCACGCAGAGACCGCACCGCCCGGGCCTCTCCGCTCGGGCTTGTGCATCATTTATAGAACAAGCTCAATCACAATCATCAGCTCTGACCCCCTGCGAATTGTCTGCAGAAGGGGTGAACTCACAATCATCCGACTTGTCTGACCTCTGCCTTGTTAGTGCACAGAGCGGGAGAATTTCCTCTTTATTTTAATGAAGCACGACTTTCCCCCCCCCCCGGCAGGCATGCCGAGCGCGGGGCCGCAGCGAGAGCACAGTGTGGTAATGAGAGGCCAGGAGGGTCAGGTGTCTTCAAACTGCAGCGCGGAGAAGAGACTTAATGCAGACGTGTTTTCACCAGCCCCGGAGGAAGCGCGGAGAGCGCTGGATGAATATTCATGGGGCTCGTGATGAATTGTCGCCTACAGCATCGTGCCACTTTAAAAGCCCTCACGCCTGCTTCTTTTATCACACGAGGTCCCCGTCGCTGAACCTCAACGGTGCCACAGCGCAACGCCGGCAGTATCCAACTACCAATTATCATCCAAGATCATTAACTTGTTATGTTGACACAAACACCGCAATTTCCGATGGCCGCCTTTAGTCAAATGACCTTATTCACGAGGAGTTGCTGGCTGAGTTGATTGGATTTTTTTTTTTCTCACGCATGTCTCGCAATCACTCAACAAGTGATGTTTGGGCACAAAATTAATGAACGCCTCGCAATGCTTTGAACTGCGTGCGCGCTGCGTTTCGGGGACGGGTGAACTAGCTTCATGATATTGTTGTATTCAAAATGAAGTGTGCATCAGCACAGATTGATGCAGAAATGGAATACTGTTGAACGTTTACGCCGCCTTCCAGTCAAGCAGCGATCTCCTCGTCACCACGGTAAGTCAACAGGCGGAGAGATAAAAGGGGTCGGAGGGACGGAGCGAGGTGGAAGGGTGGAGGGGCCCTGGGAATTGGGGTAGCGTCATGTTCAGCAGCCCCAGACGGGTGATTCATACCAGCCTCGTCACTGGCAACAGACAGGACATCCAGGCCTTTATTACCTCCATCCATCACAATCACTTCATCAATCTGAGCGCCTGTGAGCCAGCTTTCCAACCGCTCCCCAAACACCCATCGCAGCGTGCTGCCGGACAGAGATTTACACCCTCCACCCTCTGGCTCTACCACCCACACACGCCAAACGAGAGAGACCAGCTTCCAAGTCGACTTCGGACACACACCCACACACACACACACACACACACACACACACACAGAGAATGAGACAGAACGAGAGGGAGTGTGCGTGAAGGCCATTCTGGAACCAGACACGGCGTGAAGTTGTTCCCCTGAGGGCCTCCGTCTGACAGGCTATCCTGCATTCTGAGAGCCACTTACACTTCAGCCACATCATACCGCCTGCTGCTAGTGACCAAAGTGTCAGGAGGGCACATCGTGATGGATATACTAAACTTTAGGTGAAGTCATTAAACCGTTCCCCCAATGCGCTTTCCGTTAGAAATAACATACAAAGTGTGTCATACGTACATAACGCAGCACTTGATCATAGAAAGTTGTAAATAAATTAATAAATTAAATGATGTGCACCGTGGCCTCATATATCAGATTGTGAAGATAATTCTCAAAACGATTAAATGAAAATAAATAAACAAATGACCAACCAGTAATAATTGTTACACCAATGCATTCAAACTAAACGAAATACACACAATGTTATATATTTATCACAAAATCTATTCACTCGAGGTTTTGAATGTTTCTGTTCCCATGTTATCCTGCTAAGTTTTTATGGTTTGCCACGGTATTCTATGTCATACACGGAAGTCTTCGACACTATTACACCACACTGTAACAAATTGCTGTAAATTTACGGTGCATTTCTAACGGTATCTTACAGTATGTCATAATAACTGTAACATACAGTTAAATTTCCATCCCGTGCTTGTAAATTAACAGCCAATGTCATGAAAAAACAGTTAAAGCTGTCAATTTACAATAATAGCAGACTACCATAATTTAACTGCATGTTAACATATATTTTATGAAGTGGTGGAAATCCACATACAAATGCAGTGAATCACAATCCCTCTACATCTGTTGTAGGTTAATGTATGGAAGCCCATGTCAGCCACTGAATTACAGGTCTTGTAAGTCATCATAATGAGATAGTATCTCATGAGATACGATGATGACTTTGACTTACAGGACATTACTATACATGCAGCTGTCACTTTTATCCAAACGCCCATGGTTTGACATCATTTTATGTGGAGTATTTGGGGGTTAGGTGTCTTGCTCAGGGACACTTCGACTTGGCACAGGGAGCAGCCAGGATTCAAACCGCCGACCTTGTGCGGCACAGCACACCCTCCCTATCCCATGCACCGCCTTCACTGTCGCTTCAGTGGTTGGAATGTAAAGCTTATAAATATTTGTATTATTCAAAGTGTTCATTGCCTAAAAGTAATTTGAGTGTTAATCGTGACCGACTGCTCCTGAACGTGACGTCAGACGCGTAATCTCAGTTCATACAGAACACCTGTGCAGTTCAACACCAGAGGAGTTTCTCATTGCCTCGTCTATCCAAGTAACGTTGGTAAGTTTTATTTGCCTAACATGATTAATGTTCTCCTTCCTTACATCTTGTTGTCTTCCTCAACTTTGTAATTTTAATATTTTACCAATGACAGTGTTTCTAAATATTTTATTTTGGTTTGTTTTACAGAGGCTCTGGATTAAGGACGCCAGGCGTTTGCTGCAGTCAATTGACTGCAAGTGTTCCATAGCTTATTGTTGCAGTTAGTTTATCTTGTTCCTAATGATTTTATGATTATTTTTTTAATTATTGTATACAAGTGGCATATTTTATGTTTTGT